CAGAGGCCAGGCAGCTGGGCCAGGTCTTTTAAGGCACGCGAGGAGCTAAGCAGCGATCGGGCGAGCGTTTCGCGTTAATTAATTGGGTATTTTCACACGTCAGCGGGCCGATCTCGCCAAATAGATCGGCGCAAGCGGTCCTTAATTAGCCGTATCTGCGGGGCCGATCGCCGCGCGAGTACCCACACCGGCCGCCACGCCAATTTGGCGCTGCACCGCTTCGGACCACTAGGCAGATAACGAGCAACGCTAGCCAATAACCTCATTATGAAATAAGCTGGCTGCGTCTACTAAGTACGATTCTACGATAAGCCTCGTATTGCTGGTAAGGGGCATTGTGAGCCCGCGCGACCGTTTATCTGTGCTTTACCGCCACCGATACGCCAACAGAGTCAGCAATAAGAATAATAATAGGGCTAGTTTTAAATATCAACTTAAATAATTTTTGCGCGGATGGCGCAACGGTTAACACACACACTTGATGAGATACGATAACACACGAACAGTTGTTCCGAGTCTGCAACCTGCTACTAGTCTGTGATTTCATTTATGTGAAATCCCAGGACACAGATACTCTTCCCCATTTAGGCAGCCGTTTGTTAAAAATCAAAGAAAATTATTCAATACCAAGCCATAGAACAATAGTGTTTGAAAAAACGTCCGATTCATAATTTCAAGAGTAATGCCGTAAGAATTTCGTTGTCGAATTGAATCTTGCAATTAAATTAAAAGCTCTTAACCGTGGGGCAAAAGAAAACTGCGGCTCTGAACGCTCGCACGTGTCGAAAGCAGCGATCGATAGACGTCGGGGAACAATTAATTTTTTGTCCTCCACGAGATACACCGCTAATTACAATAAGTGATCATTGACTCTTTTTAATTACGCCGCCCATTCAAGCGTCCATCATTGGGGCTAATAGTTGCCAGTCAGTGCATTTAATAAAGCAAGCGAGTGCTTCGGAATGTTGGTTGTTTCGCCCGCGGAATTTATATTGTAATCTCTTTCGTTTTACAATTTAAGTATTTTTCAATATCAACCTCGCTGCGGCGGTCGTCGTTTAATGAAACGTAAGTTATTTCGATTGCACATCGCTCGCGTACCCCCTTGACAAAAAGTATAACTATCGGGCGTATGTATTTTAATCAGTTGCCTGTGTATACTTACGGGTCGGCGGGTTGTAACCTGTTTTTGCTTTGTACGAGCGTGCGTTGCATTCCTTCATAAATGCGAGAGATGTGCAAGCGCCGTGCGGCTGGTAAGGCACAGACGGGGGGAGGGGGGGCATCGACCGCTCCGTGAGAAACGTGTGTTTCCCGCCTCTAATTGCGCCTTATGCGATATCGCCATTTAATTAGCAACATGTTTCCCATTCCGGTACATTAATTAATATTTTCATGGTTGTTCGCCGCATTTAACTGTACTTTTATTACGCTCGCGAGATTTCAATAAAGATTCCCGACCACCCTTGTAGGTGCATTGTTTTTGTATTGTTATACTTCTGAGTTCACGCGTGCGACATTCATCCAAGTATCGACGTTTAAGGTTTAATGTTCTCAACACAAGGCTTCAAGGCGACGCCGTTTCTTGGCATATGCATCGAGTGAATGGTCCCTTGCGATCATGAATTTGCCAGGTAGGTGGGGCGCAATAATGTACTGTCAAACGTGTACCAGTCGGTGTACCAGCGGCCGCGGAATAAATTGCGCCTGATAAGGGGCGCGATTAATTCAATGAGCACCTAATTGCGGGGCCAGATTGTCAACCGCCCCACGTCCGCGCGGACAAATTGCGACAGCTGACCGCCGGTAATGACATTTCACAAGACATCTTTGTCGCGCCACACCTGTGCGGGAAAAACGGCCAACACGTTCATAATCGCCTTGCGAAGTTGCAGTGTCAGGAAAGCACATCGATCGACACCTTTTGCATTTTTAAAGGCAGCGAATTCGCGAAGTTCAATATTAACGCTAATTGAGTAACAATCAACGTCTTGGAGTATCTTCTGTTCGACTTTATTCTTAAAACCGATAAATAATAAGTGCACTTTGCAAGTAACCATTCAGAGTTAACGCGGTGAATTTCATTAAAAGATATAATAGATATTTAGTTTTTTTTTTTTTACTACGAAACGGTATCCCACGACTGCTAAATGTGGGAGTGGGTAATTTATTCAAGTGTAATTTACATAATTCGAATCGATTAAATTTCTTGTTCTTGTTATTTCGTGTGTTTAAGGTCCGAAAGCGTGAGAACTGCCCTCCAAGGAAACTAATTACACCGAATGCGGCCAGGGTCTTCAGTTAATTAGAGACGGCGAGGTTCAACCCTCTAAATTAATAGGCACTCGAGCTGAGGCCCTTGCGCTGGGCTCACTGTTTTGTTTCAATTGTTAGTCTTGATGAAACATGAGTACGTATTGTATTAAAATTAATCATTTTATTTAGTTACAAGTTACACCTTAGTAATGTAAATGTACGATTAGAGCGTCTAATAGAATGAGCTTTATTGGCTTAAAATTAATATTATTATACAACAATAATAATATTGTACCTAAGTCTGTGCTAGTCTGGCTTAATGCTCAGAAGTAGTATAAAAATAAATCTGATATAACATGTAAAACAATGTTATATGACAGATCTCCAAATATCGAATATATTTAGCGAGACTAACGTACCTACCATACAGCTCGTATTGAGTGATCTATACAGTGGAACCTAGAGCCCTGTCTATCAGACAAAGCCAATTGACTATGTTGAAGACCGACAGCGGGGCTATCATCTCCAGTAGACCAGGGATTTTGAGTTAGATTCAGAAGTTCCATGGACAGCTGTACACATCGTAGTTGAAGCCACACTCACGTGTAAGTAACGACCCAAGAGCAAAGCTTGTCCGACATTACTCCGAGAATATCCGGACGTCAGAGTGAGCGCGATTAGAATGGCTCTAGTCTATCTTAAGAATGGCAAAGCACCAGGAGAGGATGAAATTACAGCAGAACATCTGAAAGCGAGAACCGGTAATTGTGGTACTTCAGAGGCTCTTTAATTCCGTTCTTCATGATGGTGCTACACCAGAGGCGTGAAGCAGAAGTGAGGTGGTCTTAAAGAAAGGTGATGACACTCCTTAAAAACACTATTTTGAAGAGCTGTAGACCAATATCCCTTCTGAGCAGCGTCTATGTGTTGCTTTAAGGGTCATCTTAAATCTGCTCGCTTACAGACTCAACGACTTCCAGCCTGCCGAACAAGCCGGATTCCGAAAAGGCTTCAGTACCATAGACCACATACACACTTTGCAGCAGATTATACAGAAGACCGAAGAGTATAATATGCTTTTGTGCCCAGCATATGTGGACTATGAGAAAGCCTTCGATTCTGTCGAAATTTGGTCGGTAGTCCAGGCGTTAGTTGTGTCTAATTGGCCTCATAATGTTTTAGTCAGGTTTCCTTCACCGCTCAGCATTGGTGCTGGCACTATTTGAACACGGTTATTGAAAGCGAGCGCCCGGACACTGGGCTATCACGGCAAATTTTTTCAAGTATTACGAATAAAACGGTAAGACTGACGTGCCCCGTGCCGAGATTGGTCTGCGTGCAAATAAGGACGCGGCAGAGGCTGAATAAAGTTTATTTACGGCGTGTCAGTGTAAAGTCGTAAATGTGGAATCGTCCCCTGCCACGGATAATGGCGTATTTAATGTGTCCATGGCCGGTCGTCGCGCGTCTAACCGTGTCTACGTTCGGTGACACGGAACTTCGATTAACATAAAATCGAGCGGGACCCGCGTGGGCGCTGAGTCCTCTCGCGACGCCACTTTGTTTGCTCAGCTCGGAGTCGTCCCAAGCACTTGGAAACGCTATATCACCCCCGAGCCGCGGCTGCGATTTTGTATGGATCCAACGGTATCTATCGGTAGTAGATCTGATTACAGTTTTTTTTTAGCTTCCAAAGTACGTGACTTACATTGACTTATTGAAGGTTGCAACGTTACTGATAATACTTGGCTGTGTATAAACACAAACGCCAATTGGCGGCGCATAAATGTCCCACTGCTTCGAAGGCTTCCTCTGTACAGAAGGTATTAGTCCACCACGAAAAGGCGGACATCACCTCACGATTTTCGAAATATGTTTTGTCGTTATTTCGAAAATTATAGAAATATGCTTTATGTGTGCCAATGAAATATTAAAATAATATTCTCTGTATATAATTAAAAGTCCTTTTTAAAATGAACCACTTGAATAATTCATAAAACTTCACTTTGAAAAACTTTATAAATCGAAATCCTTTCCCGCGTTAAAAACTTAACTTTAACACGGATATTTAATGAGCAAGCATTCGTTGTTAACAATCGTTATTCGATGGCCGTTAATTAAAACTGAGCCCTGCATTAATCGGACCAGTTAAGTCCAAGGTCTTCGAGTGTGCCGAGCGACCATTAAGAGTCGGGGACAACGGAACCGCCCGGTTAGGCTCGTCACTTTAATGCTATAAACGTCACAACGGTACCGAAAAACAAGTAGTAATTCGCCGACCTCGCATCTCGCTCGCCGAACTTAACCGCACATTCACCAACAACTGGATAACGTAAAAAACCCTTCCTACGTAACGATTTCGACAAAACGTCTTCGCCTTTCCTCACTGTCGCGGAGCGCTCGAATAAATTCAATATCATTATTAATTATCCCTCAGGAGCGACCGGCGTTTCTTCTACGTATTTATCGCAGGATAAAGCCCTGCTCGCAGCGGGGTCCGTTGCAACGACAACTCAATTAACATATCCGTGTATAAATAGCGTCGGACAAACGTAATAATGTAGTCCGACATGTCCGATTCCGAGCGCCGATGCATCGCACTGATAACATTCCAACTCGAGATCCGAACACGAAATTCCCGGCGCGGTCGAATCTGAGCGGTACTTGAGGCGCAACGTCTCGTTGGGCACGGCCCCGGGGAATCCGAGGATGCTCGATTGAGGCGCGTCTTCATTGCGCCCGGAATGGGAAGCCGACGTTTGCGGCTCGGTACACGCCGCGCAATACTCCGCGTGCCATTGCTAGACGACGCACTTTCGGAGACGCACCGCCGTCGATCGGGTCGTGACAGAGAATTCGTCGGCCGGCCGTCGGCGGAATGCGAGCGGTAATTGATTTGTCCTGCGTAATCGACGGCCTGAACGGGATTGACAGGAATATCGAGACGTCATGCTCGCAGGCAGAGATGGCGGCCAAATTTACCTTTCATCGGCTTGTGTGCCTGATATTTCTGTTACGACATTTGTCAAGTCGTTTTTTGGGGAAACATACTCTCAAACAAATGATATAATATTATAAAACATTATGTTGTTTCAACATATGCGTTTCATCATGCGAGGGACGATAGAATAAAACTTTGGTGTTCTAAGGTAATATAATTTTATGACAGTATACACGGCAAATACAATAAAGGCGATTCTGTTGCGTGCATTAAAAAAAGCACTCAGTAATTCCAAAAACCATCTTACTGCTCACAATAAAACAATGACTTGTTTACGCTACGTTTTGGAACGTTTCTAGAACCTTCGGAAACATAACGTACCATACGTTATTTAAAATAGTTGACATGTGTTTTGTGCGAACACCACAATTTTTCAATCTTTGTGTATTAATAAACAAACGAAGAGTTAGATGAAGCGAAATTAATTGTCTCAAACTCAAAGTCCTCAAAAGGAGCTTTAATTAAGCAAACTTGTCAGCTGTAATTTGACATAATGACTGTTTTCCATTATGAAGTAGGTATGCGAAACGCTGAAAGGCAATTCGTCGCACGCGAACATCCCGCTGGTCCGGTTTGGTTGATACTCGGCCCGAGAAGTCAAATAAAATTAATATTCATAGCCGTTGTATTTATTGGCTTTCAATTAGTATAATCTTAATGGAGAATTAACATACGCGCGGGCGGCGCGTCGGAGTATGGCTTACCTGTTACAGAGGTTGCCAGTCCTAAATAACCTCCCTGTTCTTAAGAAAACTATAATGCTCCAAGTTAATACATCATGTGTGTTCCCCACAATCAACAAATGCAACACAATATGTTCCCAATGACAGTGGTCGCGGTCAGACACTCCTCATCTTTCTCCTGCCAGTTCTTACCTTCCACTTTTTTCTATCAGCTGCCATCTGAATACTCACCCCTTAAACAGATATGTTATTCTTCACTTAGTCCATCCAATCTTCCTGGATCTTCCTCTTGCATTACACCCGCCCTCCAAAACCTAAAACACTATAAATTATTAAAAAAGTACGCTCCAGTAGTTTACCACCTAAGACTACATCACTGATACCATCAGTTAGGATAGCCCAAGTCCCTATCCCACGGAATTGGAATTAATATTTACCTACCTATTTATGTATATATTTTATTTAATGGGAAACAGCATGCTGTTGAGGCAACACTGGTCGCGGAAGGCTCGCAGCCGATGACCTCCGCCGACCGGTTCCCGCGGCTGCCCCGCCCCCGCACCGCGCCCGCCAACCCCCTCGCGCGAGACGTTTCATTGCGTTATTATTATATTAAATGCTATTATACACATTGTGGGCATTAGTCCACCAAGAAATCCCGAGGAAAGTTAATGTATGGGCCGGCGGACTGGTTTCTTTTAGTTCGTAAATCGCCTTTGAGAATAAGTAGTGCACTAACCGGGGTGTTTCTACGGAGTATTTTTTTACTTTTCATTTGTCTAATGCCTAATCCTTCGTTTTTTATGACATCAATTGTAGGCCATGGCTTATTTCTAAACTGATTTATGTGAAACAATTCGTATTTATTTAACATCAATATTTAAGTAATCCTGGAAAAGGACGGTTAGAAGAAGAAAAGGTTAAAAGGTTAAAGAAAAGGTTAAAGGTTAGTTGCCTTCATTCAAAAAAGTAAAGAAGGATATAAAAATGGCCCTTTCTTGATATAATCTTATACATATTTATTAAAAAATCTAATTTGAAATTTATCGCGAGATCTTTAGTCGGTATTGTTCAAGTATAAATTAAATTTATAATTTTTTAATTTTTAAACTTTAATTGATAATAATTCTTAAAACCAGGAAGTGCCACAGTTTTTACGGAATGCCCACCGAATCAAACAGACCAGGTTAAAATAAAGTGCTACGGAGTGCTTAAAACATTTTCAAAACAGCCACTTTGTACACACGTTACTTAAAAATGTAATAATGTGCATATGTTTTTATTATGGTGGGGCAGTAACTTTCACTTTATTCAATTACGTTAACCACTTCCTGACCTCAGTGTTAAAAACTTTCGAATAAAGTTCGATTCAAAACTAATCAAATATGGGCCCTTAATTATTAGTTCTTCATTACGCTGATCGTTTGTTTAATATAAATTCGACAGTATCTCTAAACTTTGAGAAGCATTTGAAGAGTTTAGCAATGATTATATTTTGTTGTTAAAGACACAGAATTTATCCAATGGTAAAAATATTTCTGATAGAGTAGAAACTGATCGGTCAAATCATCACGCCCCGTTTTAGGATTTTGGTCAAATAATCACATCCTATTTTAAGATTTTTCAATGAAAATTAGAATTTCATTCTTTACAAACAAACTAAATATCATTTTATTACAATTAAGTTCTTGAACTACATTAATTGAAAATAAAATATAATTTCAATAGATCGCTAGATTAAGCACAGCATATCATGTGACTAAATACGACCTTAAAGGTTTGGTAACAAAACATACACTTTCGGCCATATTCATTTTGGTGTTAATTAATTCCTTACTATTAAATTCGTTTACTTGTCAAGTAGTTAATAAAAATCAATCAATTTCTCGTGGACGAATATTCCATAGACGAAATAACAATTTCATTACCTCCTTAGATACTTTTGCGCGCGGTACAACGGCGGCATTGCCGCCAGCGAGCTTGGTATTTTAACTGGTTGTAAAACGAAAATATCGCGCGCATTGTTAATAAATATCGCACATTGGTGGCGCGACGTCAAAAGGATCGGATCTAATTATAGATGTCGGCCGGTCTTGGGGCCGTCGGAATAAAGCACATCACGATATATCGCATTACATCGCGCGGCGCACTTGATCACGCCGTTGTCTGGACGCTCTTATTCGTGCCTCGGTTCCTGTTGGCTTTTTATCGCGACCGCTTGCACCGCGCCGCGGGAATATGACGCCGTTCGATTTTCGAATCGATGCTCACTTTTTTTTAAATCGTACGCAACGTTGCAAATGAACCGGAGCAAATATTTAAATTGAATGTTTTCTTGTGTTACGCGTAGATCGGCCAAAATACACAATAAGAATCTGTCAATAATCAGCATCGTTATCATTATCATTTCAGTCTGTAAGTCCACTGCTGAACATAGGCCTCGCCCACAGACTGCCACGAAGCAGTATCCTGAGCTACTTGTATCCATCGAATTCACGCACAATTGCACAGGTCATCACTCCATGTAGTCAATAACACGGTACTTATTTTAATTATAACTTTACATGCTGCGAACATCTACATCTGTGAACATGTGTGCACTTAAAGCCAAAGTTAAACGCAGTAGAACCTAAAATCGCTATTTTTTTAAAAGCAATTACATACTTGGTGGTAATATTAAATTTAATAGAATAGGTAATAGAAAATTACGTTACAAAATTTTAAGTATAAGTGCATTATCATTAGACAAAAGTTTAATCTTTACTCTAACTGTAGACTACAGCTTTATACCTTTCAATGTAAGAACTTGAAGTTTTCTATTTGCTATACATTATAAAATAACACTATAATACAGACATTTTCAGTCCTTGTTTCGATATAGGTACATTAACACAGAAACTATAATACAAAGCAACTCGCCATGAACCCCGTCGTGTCGGCGATTAACCCAAGCAACGCTAATGATTCGCCGATCGGCGGATCGAGTGGGCACGTCGAAATATCAGTGGCAATAGGACAAGTGGAGAGCGCGCCGACCAATTTGTGCGTCAGGACGTCAGATCTCAAGGGCCTCGTTAATGCTAAGCCTCCAATTAGACTTATCCCTAATTAAGAGATGCCAATAAATTACCCTCCATCACGGGCTAACGAAGACGCGCCGCTCGCTCTCTAATAACGCTAATTGATTTTGAGTAATGAGCCCGTGTTTTGATGGCGCCGATCGGGAGGCTGCCGTCGACCGGCCGAAGCCCCCACCCGGTGGGGGGAATTTTAGTTATCCCATTCACTTCACTAGCGGTAGTTGATTCGGGCTACAAGTGGTCCGAATTCGTTCAAAACTACGTATAATATGAATCACCTTATCGCCACATTCCGTCAGTAACAAGAAGTAGAAAATAATATATGATACCAAATTCTTCCCTGTTCTCTTCTGTTTTTTGTTATTATTTACGTGAGAATTTAAGTCGTGTAGGAATTTTACCATAAAGACAATTTTGTCTGAAGAAATGTCTTACAAATAATTGACTTAGTCAGCCCACACACCCTGATCATATGTAAATTTAGTTGCATTTAAATAATATAGCGTCTTGTCATATTCAATTAACGAACAGAATAAAAACTAAAAAAAGTTTAGTATATTATATATTACTACATTGTTTTTTTTTTTAGTATTTGAAGCAATGCTTGACGCATCAATTTAGACCATTGAAATGTTACATGAGCTTTACATATTTTAGGGGACGCAATTTTATTTTTTGGCCATGGGTTACCGGCCTTGTCCCCCGGCCGCCTGAAGATTTTTATAGAAATTTACTCACTCTTTTGCTTATAACTTCTTATAAAAGTTATATATTTGTAGGCAAAGCGATTTGCTACAAATTGTCTTTACGAATTTTTTGTAGGACATATAGTTTACGAGATATCGCGAAATAATTGTTTCCACCCCTTTTACCAAGATGATGGCTGAGGGACAAAGGCGGCAACCCCAGAAACTTCCAGTTAAGCTTCTATTGACCCCCCACACATGTCTCAAAAATAAAATTGCGTCCTCTAAAAATGCAATATTAGGTCCTTAAATTTTAACTTATGGACTAATTGCTATATCCTGTCCAGCATATAAAAAATTTTGAATATCGTTTACAACGATAATTCGAACGAGAGATGTCGCCATTCCTTTTTAGATTTTTTTTAATTTAATATTAAGTGCAGAAAGCACTACAAATAATTATCTGCATTAATTTTTTAAAATTATTTGCTTTACTTATGTTACGAATTCAATTTTTTACTGAGCCTACGTCACCTTTTTCAGTTGTGGTCAACGGTGTGACTTATGTAAGGTATATTTTTTTACTTAACAAAAATAATAACCAAATAAACATAAGCATTACCAAACATTCACATAATATAAAGAAAGCTAAAAATTCTGACTAACTAACGCATATCGTCACATCGCAATGAATCAGTTTTAATCTGAAACCATAAAAGTTATCTCGTTTTGTTAATTTAAATATTTTAAATTTCAATGAAGTTAGGAGGTTGATAAATGTGTGTAATGTAATCTAAGAGGCGATTCTTGCTTAACAACTTGTTTTTAATTATTAAGTTTTAATCGACTAATGCCAAAGTGACTTATAGGATGAAATACGAGATTTAATTAAACTTTAATAATTGGCTCAACAGACTTTATATTTATTCATATAGTTTATATCTTAACTTAACAGAAAAGAAGGAATAAGTTCTGCGTCAATGAAAATGATAATCAAAACTGCACCTCTATTTTTATAAGTTCTGCGTCACAGAGCAATAGCTGTTCTTTATTTAAATGTATTCCATCAGCGGAAGAAACCAATCGCGATTTAGTATCAACAAGTAGCTTAAAGCGCAATTTCCCTTTAATTGAATAACATTACCATAGTAAAAGCTTCACTTTAATTACTGGAGCCAAACATCGGACCCGCTTGAAATATTTCCTGATAGTTAAACATCGCTTAACATGCTAATACTCAGAGTATGTTTACGCAACTACGATAAGATCGCAGCCGAATCAGACATTCGTGAAAATTAGATTATTAACTATAATATATTTATTGTAATACCTTGTACGTTAGACATAATCTTAATTGTTATCTAAAGAATAGTGACAGACATAAATTAAATACTAGAAATAAGGACAAATTAATTATACCATTGTTTCGTCTACAAAAAGTAAATAGATCGTTCATGGGGCAAAGTGTGAACATGTGTAATAAAATCCCACAATCGGTATTAAGTCTGCCACTAGATGAATTTAAACGCAAAATTAAAAGCGAACTTATGGCTAAGGCATACCTTAGCCATAAGTTCGCTTTTAATTTTGCGTTTAAATTCATATATAATATGTTATACCATTGCAGAATATCTTGACGACGCCAATGTGTGGGGTTAATACTGTTAATACTCACGTAGGCTAAAATGACATACTTGTTCTATTATATTGTAAACTAATCGTTTTAAAAAGAGCATCTGTTGAGTTTCTTGCCGGTTTCTTCTCAACAGAAACTGCTTTCCGAACCGGTGGTAACTTACGAACGTATTAATTTTTATGTAAAATTTTTGACTTCTCATAAGAACGCGCAAACGTCTATGTGAAAATATATATTTTTGATTTTGATAATATCCCGATTGATGACGAAACTATTTTTGTAGATAATGACATAATTAAAGTGTGATCACGTTCTTCAAATGAAATTACAACTCGATTAACTTCATCATCATTTCAGATTGTTGGAATCAAGTGCAGCACATAGGGAGGCCTGAGAACATAGCACGATTATGAGCCATCTGCATCAGTTGACTTCGCGCAAACTTGCACAGGTCGTCATACCATGTCGTGGCGGGTCGTCCCACGAGGGCCAATACGAGCCTGCCACTCGGGAATCTTTCCTCTCCATCGATTATCGGTTCTTCGAGCTATGTGACCGGCCCATCGTCACTTTACCTAACTAAGCAATGTCGATTAACTTTAGAATTATAGAGGTCGACCAACTTGGTAAATTTTGATTGCATAACGAGAAACCTTTTGACATTTTTTTGCTTCACTACGGTGTACGGATTACTTCATATTGCACGCGTCATAAGTAGATGTTTGTGTGACTTCTTAATTACTAACTAATTACTGGCTGCCTCTCATCTAAGGGGTTCTTCGGTCAGGGCCGGGGCGGCATCGGAGGCAGCTGAAGTAAGTAAATGGCGCAAATATGAGTCTTAATGTTTAGATTATGTATTTGTGCTGTTGAAACATTAGGTCCGTGGGGTCCCCGCACATCAAATTTTTTTTTTAAATTTTATGTCCTAACGGCTACTACTTACTATGTGGCTTAACGCCGCGGTTGGTGACAAGAGAGCTGGTTCTTTTCTCGCTCAAAGGTTAAACATAACTATTCAGTGAGGAAATGCAGCTAGCGTTCTTGGCACCATGCCGCGTGGATTAGGTTTATTACATAATATGTAATTTTAGATAGATTTAATCTTATATATATATGATTTAATTATGTAAATATTAGATCAATAAAGATTTTTTCTGTTAAAAAAAATAAAAAATTATGAACAATGTTTCCTATGATTATTTTATCCGTATGTTACATAGCTCGGCCTTGACTATTTTTTGGTCTAAAACATCGCATTTGGACGCAAACACACTAACGCAGAAGGCTGTTTATTCTTGCCTTGAAGTTTTTTTTTCTTCTTGTTTTCTAGTATTAAACAGTTTCGTCAAAGCATTTTTATATGTATAAAAAAGATAATACCATTTCAATTAATTTTGTAATTTTTTCGAATGTTGGATTCGTTCAAAATTACTGAAGCTGAAGATGAAGCTGTTCCAAGGATTGCACAGGGTTTCAACTAAATCGTTTTCTCACGATACGATTAGAATGCATCATGGCCAATTTTTTCTACTGTGACACCTTTCTAATGCTATAAATAAAACCTTCTCGGCCTTTAGGCGTATAATATGCTTTTATAGTTTTAATAATTTTTCCATACGGCGGTATTAAATCAAATTTCCTAAACTGCGATTTGACTTTTAAAGGTTTTTTTATTTCATTTTGTGGTACCAGTTATGTTGCATGCGTTTCACTACTATCATTCCCTGCAATAGTGGAAGGAAAGGAACCGCGACAGCTGTAATTATCGACCTTTCTCTTGCCGTAAACAAACAAGGTTTTATGCAATGCCATTTTGCATTAATTATTTATTATCAACAGTATACGTTAACCGTGTACTTGCTAGAAATAGCAAACGTTGAAAAATTCTTGAACCGTAAAATTTTGCGTGTACTTATATAATTGTATCTACATTACAACCTCACTTTTATTGTAACATTTGTTCACGAAGTAAAACTTTTGTCTTTTTTTTAGTTTAAATGTTAACAATCTACTTCTGGGACTATTTGAAAAAGTTACCTATTTCCTTCCTATTGGTGATTTGTTGTCGCAATGAGAAAGTATGCAATATTTCTAATTTGAATTTAAAATGAAACTCATATTTTTTTTAATAAAGTGCGAAATAATATTTAAAAATTATTATTATTCCAATTTTAAACCGTTAAAACGTGACAGACTTAGCTTAGTAAGCAAATTAATCATTGATGTCAAGTTAATGGGATCATGACAAAAAATGGATATTTAAATTATAAGTTTTAAAATTTGTCATATTTTTGAGAAAACACGCTGCAAGTAAAGTTGAATTTGCGCTTATGTGCTTTTTAGTGAGATGTGTAACCAGAGATTACTCGTCCTCGCAACTGCTCCCCTTGAGACCCAAGAGTTGCGAGATGTGTGAGCCCACAAGTGGTTCACAAGGTCGTGTAGTCACTATTTAGTCACTTACCATCTGGCGAACCGCATATACGTTTGTTTATTTATTTATTTGTAAGGAACTAATATCAAATAATAAGATACTACAAGGAAAAGACATAATAACATAAAGCCAATAACAGGTCACCACATGGTAGAGTACGAAAAAAAATATGTGTACTAAAATAACAATTCACCTACTTTAAAAGGCATAGCACAGAGCATTAAATTTTACTAACTTCGCACATAAATAAAAAGAACCGATTTTTTATAA